AAATTTTGAATTAACCCCCTGCCATTCTGCCAGCACACAGTGACAACCTATAGCAACCTGGAGACTCAGAATTTTACTGGTATGTGAAATTCTGTAACAAGCTGTAGATGAATTACATGCCAAATTAACATACGCATGTTGGCAAAATGCTTCTACACCAACTCTTTGTTGCCCGCATCACTTATGTTATTCATGAAACGGGAACTTTTTTCCTTTTTCTCTGACAACTGTATCTCCTCTAGCAGTCTTTGCAAAGCCTTCATAGCATAGGTTGGCTACAGAACTGACATGTGGCCATAAAAAGATTTTACTGAAGCATTCAGAAGTCTTCAGCAAGCACAGTTATGTCACGCTTCTAGATCTGTAAAGGTTAAGACAGACATTTCTGAGGTGAACTCCTGACAGAGAGTAACTGGGGAAAAGAAGTTCAATTCTCCCTTGCTTTACAGCTTGCTGTACTACTTCTAATTGCTTGCCTAGGTGCAGTTCTCAGTTCAGAGCTCTATGCACAAATATATTTAATGCCTCCTTCTCTGTCTGGTAAACAGTCAGGTGTAAAATAAATATTAGACACTGTTCATGCTTTAATTCCATTAAACTATTGTTTATTAGGAAGAGAAAAAAATCAAGATACTATTGTATTGGACAGCACTCTCAACATCAATTTTGGATGCCTGTAAAAATCTGAACAAAGCTTCTTCAAGTGAGACTCAAAATATTTTTTTGTATCCATCTTTAATTAGAAACAAAAGAGAATGAATGGCATCACAAGTCAAAAGTGCCACTAGAAACATGCTGACTTCAGTTAAAACATTTTACTGCTTTTTTGCACAATCAAAAGCATAAACTCAGCACCTTCTGAGCTGCTATCCAGAAAGAAAAAGGCATGAAACAGAGACAAAAGGAAACTGAAATTAACTGTTCTGAAGTTTACTTCAAGAAGAGGTAAATGCATAAATAGAATTCATGACTACCGTTAATCAGATTTCTTAAAAGTTTTAATATCATATGATGCTATTAAGAAGTTTTCCCATGGAACTGAGTTATGTCAAACATCCTTTAAGTTAACAACCTCTCAGCCTTTAAGTCTGCTAACAGATTTTATGACAATCACTTTGATAGACAGTACAGCTGCATGTTATGCTTACCCATGCTCCATGAAATTCGTTGTGTATTCCTCCTCCTGATTTTGTATTTTACAGAGCAAACAAGTTAATACACGATAAAAAGATTTGTGATGCATTTGATAACTACTGGGAATAAGAGTCAAATGTGATGGGTCCAGAAAAACTCACAGTAATTTATGATCATCTAAAGTGATGGGAGCTTATATTCCTTTCTGTTTAGAAGTAGGAGGAAAAGTCGTATTTGCACCCTAGTGATTGCAGATGAGCTAGTAATAAAGAGACTTAGAAATACATGACTGCTGAAACATATGACCGCACCAGTCACACTAAAATCAAGAAGTGATTGTCACACTTGAAGTGGTTACTTTCCAAAGCTGCCAACAGCCAGGTCTTAATGTTAACACTACCTGGCAAACAACTTAAGAAACATTAAAGGCTGGTGAACACTGCTTCTATCAGACTACATTTATTGTCTTTCAAGACTACTGTAAAAGACATTTCAGGGCAAAACATAATAACATACTGTTGTTAATTGTTACCATAACAAACCAATTTGAAAACCCACTGCAGTAAGTCTACACATCCTCCTACCTGATAGCACAGCCACCTAGGTGTCTCACTTTAACAGCAAACTCCTATTCATTTCCACTACCCACCTAGTCCAGATATGAACAAAAATAATGAAGATAACCAAAGACCACAAACATTACTATGGTTTCCAGCGCACATACAGTATGGTGAGGGATAAATTGCAACCTTTGCAGAAAAATCTTTTGAGAGTGTTAAAAGCTGCCACTACCTTCTTTTTTTATACGTCCTTAGTGCCTGTTTCCTCTGCCTCCAGCTTAGAAACAATTCTTCCTACTGAATCCAAATGTCTCTCTCTTCCCAGACACCTAGATCTCCATGAGATTTTGGTGCACTATTGAGTATCCAACACTACAGCAGTCTGAGAACTATGTTTGCCTTGGTGGTGGCACATGTTCCACAGTTTAGGAGCTTCTAAATGCTCCTCACATTCATGCAATTCTGTCCTTTCCCCATCTACGTATTGTCTTGCACATACTTGTCTTTGAGAACTTCATGCCTCAGTTTTATTCCTCTCATACCCCACTGAGACAGAAAAATTTAATAAAATGAATGTTAACTGGGTTGGAAGTGTGTTGCCTTCCAATTCCAATTCAGCTATTGCAGAAATATTTCTGATGTAAGGCCAGTTCCACCAGAAAGAAAAAGCCTTATCAATGTGTCCAGTCACAGAGAAGGATTTGTGGTAGAAAGACATTTTACCAGTCTCCACATCCTCATAAAACAGAACAAGAAGTGTTAAGTTACAGACAAATATATCCAAGAAAAGGCAACTCCTATGTGACTGAAACCAGGAGAGGCGCAAACCAGTGAATGCATTCTCCACTACCAAAACGTGACTCTTAGAACAAGAGGGAAGAAAGGAGGGAGGCACATATGTATGGACAGGTATACAGGGAGACAGCAAAGAAAATGTGAATATATAGAGCTTTTACACTCTGTAGAAAGGAACCATGATTCATCAGACATGAAGTGTATGCACATTATGCAACATAAGTTACAAGTCTGAGAATTATAGGAAACTCCAGGCCTATAGCATTCATTCTGTACAGCTGATCAGTGAATGCAGATTAACTAACACACTTTCAGTTTACAGTGGATTTATTGTGCACGTACACCAATTCTACAACACGTGAAGCAGAAGCCACTCAACACTTTTCAAAAAGCACTGGACCCACTGCACAAACTTGTGATAACTCCACAATGCTCCCCAAAAGAGAATAACTGTATGGCACGGGTATGTTCTTGACATGATACAAAGCATAAACCCAGTACAACAGGTATGTTCTTGACATGATACAGAGCATATACCAACAGCAACAGGTTTATTACACATCTGGGAAACCTTGATATATGGCCTTATATGAAAATACCTTAGCTACCAGGGCTCCACATGTGGATTTTCTAGTAATTGAAGCCCCACGTAAAGTCTTGAATTTATAATTTTTCAGCTCATGGTGTCAGAAGTAATACGTTTGACATCTACAAAGCGTAAATAGCTTCATCTTATTTAGCTGATTCTGTTTAGTACTACATGACTGACAATTTGAAAAGTAAAAGTTTGTGTGACCCAGCTAAGAATCATACAATGCCATTCTACAGTTACTTTTCAGAAAGGAACCACACTTTAAAAGATGTAATTAGTCAAGTACTTCAGTGTTCATTACAGGTCAAACCTGCTTCCACATTCAAAACCAAAGACAGACAGGAAGAGATGTCAGACCAAAGAAGTATCTCTGGTCAGAGAGGCTGGAAATTTTATCACCTTCCCATATTACTCATGATGTAAAGAAGAGCAGTATTTCAGGTTTTTTTTACAAGCACACATGAATGAAAAATATATAAACACACACGTTTCTTCTCCTGCCCCACGTCACTGGAATACTTTATTAATGCTTTGGGCCTTCTGACTAATGTTGGTGAGAGACACGGGCAGGATTAAGGAATTCTACCCAGAAGATACATAACAGAACACACCTAAAAAAGAAAGCTTGCATTTCAAATCTTGGGATAGTTATCCTGAAATAGATTCCTAAGTAGGCAAACACTTTGTGTTTGCCCTTGACAATCTTCTAGTTCCTGTTGACCCAAAGCGGACCTCCCAAAAGAATTAGAAGCACATTGTCTTCTTCATGTTTTGCCTGCTTCAGAATAGTTTGTGCATGCTGCACACCCCAAGATTTGGGGGGGGGGGAGAAGAGACAACACGACAAAACCCAAACCAAAAAAAACACCCAAACCAAAAAACCCAGGAAGGGCTCCCCTCTGCAAAGTTTTCTTTTGCTTTGTTTTGGCTTGGGGTTTTTTTGTGGGTTTTTTTTTTTTTAAAGAAGCACAGACAAACACTATAGGTAGAATATGCCTATTCTAGATAACTGAACAGGTCCCAAATGACTCAGCATGGCATGTATTTCAGCACAAACACTGCCTCCACAGTTCCTAAACCAAAGCATTCTAGTTTTGCCCTGCTTTTGGATTACTTCCTCCCCAAAAAGTTTGCTGATCTGGTTACCTTCTAGACAGGTAATCACTAAATTTTTACACAAATTTTGAAGAGTCTACCTCACAGCAACAGTGGTCTACCTGTAGTCCAGGACTGTTCTTACTAGTCCTAAAATGGTTCAAAGGGGGCCAAAACATACCATTGCTAAAAGCGTATCTAGTCTAAACAGCATCTGCACAGCTCATGAAACACACTTGAGCTCTTGTATGCTAACAGAAGCACCTCAAAAATCACACCACTCAGGACTTAAAAACTGCAGTTTTAAAGCGCATTAACCTTGCTGATTGTGAACAAAGCTCAAGACCACTACTCCTCCTTGTCTCCCATATACCAAGTCCAGTCACTGAAGAATCTACATGGCAAGTGGGCAACACTTCTGAATCATAACATAAAAGATTAAAAGATGCTTCCATCTACTCAAGAAGTTGCACAAATAACAGAAAGTGGGATCGGATGGTATTTCAAGAAGTTGATCACTTAGTTGACCCTGGCCATGGGCAAAAGGCCAGACTGTGTCAGAATTATTCCCAGCAGATGTGTGCCTAGTTTGTTCTTAAAAAAACCACCACTGAGGTAGGTTTCACACCCTCCTTAGGCAGCCTATTTCAGTGGTTCGTTATCCTTGCCATTAGGCAGATTATCCTAATATCTAGCCCAAGGGTGCAGTTTGACGTTACATATAATCCCACTCCCCCTTGCCATGTGCTCCTGCTATTTTCCCTCCCATTGAATTCAGTGGTGATGCAGCCAGAGGGCGAGTAGGTTAAAGAAGTTGACCTGGCAGAAAATCAACTGTCAGACTCTCCCTCCCTATTCCTTCCCCGTGTTCAGATGCTTCCATCATACCAGCTTATGACTTTTAAGATATAAAAGTGCCACATGACAAACAACAGAGAGGAGAAATAAATGAATGAACTGC